ATGATCAAGTGGATTCTTTTAGAATACGGTAGTACCTGGTCCTTACCTCCGGCCTCTCAAGTTTGAGAAGTCGAGAGTCGGGACCGGAAATTCTCGTACGGTGCGGCCGGCCACTACGGGGTCACTCGGGCCGCCGCGTCTGTGAACTTCAAATAGCCGCCCGGGGAATCAGGTGAGTACATACTTCCTAGGTACCGTACAACGTACAGCTAGGTACCTTTTATACGTACGGTTTTATAGTACCAATGTACGGTACGTACCGTGCACAGGCCTGAACACGGTAATGTTCGTACTCATACCTAATGATTGGATGCAGGAAGATGCAGGGCTCCGGGCACCGGGCAGTGAGGCACTCTTGCAAACGCTGTGGAGTCCATGGGCTCTGGAATGTGCATGGACCTACTCCCGGCCCCGGGCTCCCGGGAGTCAATCTTGGTCGGCGATTAATACTGGCAGCTTGAGTGTGGGCGTGAGATTCATGTACCCCGGGGCTTCCCTTCCCGGTCGTCTGGAATGAGAACCAGGTTATGCGTGTCTGGGTCAATCGCTAACTGCTGAGACCCGAAATCCGACTGCGCAGGCGTGTCTGACAGAAAACGTGGCAGAAACTCGTCAATAAAAAGAGCCCGAGGGGGCTTCACCCGAGCAGTCGAAAGAACAGAACCGTGCACACTACCTGTCCCTGCACCAATGGGTGCAGAGGGGTCAAACTGAGCCCCGATCGGCTGGCCCGTGCGCGGCCCCTGCCACGAGTGGGGCGGCGCGAGGCTACAATCCCACCCAACCTAGGGTTTTCATCGCGGCCGTCCGTGACAAGGAGGTCCTTCCGTCCACCGTCGATCCAAGATCTCATCAGAAGGGAGACCCGGGCATGGCTAGTGCCCGGTTGGCCCTAGCTTCGTTGAGTTGGTCACCGTCGATGGACGACGAGGCAAGAGCTGACGGTTCGGGACAAGTCCCAGATGTTCAGCGCATGGTCATAGCTTATGAATGATGAACGAAAGGTTGTGACTGATGACTGCCTGTCACTCTGTCACTCTGTCGGTCCAAAGTGTCCAACAATGCAGTGACTGCACGATTCTACTGAGCTCACATTCAGTGTGCTGCCACACAATTGAGAGTTCCCTAAAGCCAGCGCCGCAATGCAAACTAAGCCGGTTGTACCAGAGACTGCCAATGTCCCCCTTTAGAAAGAAAGAGATGAAAGTAATGTACATGTGACATGCTACTTTACACTGCGATTGGCGGAATGATACCCGGCAACATTGCGCAAATTGCTCGTGACAATGACTCTGGCGTGCTGCAAGTTAGCCGTCGGAAGTCAACGATAGTAATGGCCACATAGGCGGTCGCCAGCTGGAAAAAGCAACGTGTGTACAGAGGTGACAGCCGGTGAGCTTTTGAGGGGCTTTTGATTGCCACTGCGTTTTGAGCTGCAAACTGACCAGACTCATGATCTACACTGTCTAACTCACATAGAAAGGTACCAAAACTCGCCTGGTTCTCTTTTGAAATAATAACGGTCGTCACTAGACTTGCACAATGTTGTCAACTATAAGCTCCTTCAAAAACCCAGTGAACTGGTCTGAATGGCCGTCCCCGCACACGCGCTCGTGCACATGCCAGTGAGATAGTACCAAAATATGCGTGTTTCTCTTTGGAGTACTAATGGTGAATTCTTGGTACACACCATCAGTTACAAGAAGCTCAGCGGAATGGTTGCCCGCGGAAATCAAAAGCACTGCATGGCAGCTTGTACCAAGGTTTGCCGTTTTTTTTTCTAGAAGATCAATGGTCGATTCTTGGTACAAGCCATTCGTTACAAGAGAAAGACACTGGGATGGCCGACCCTGCGAGGACGTACCAAGCTTTACCCTTTTCTTTTCTAGA